TGACCAGGCTCCTATAGGCAGCAGCTGAAGCTCAGGAGGAATATCTCAGTCATAGGGGGTTCCCACTGAGAACTCCAGGATATAAACCCCACACTTGGCTCTCCAGTCCAGAGCACCAAAACTGAGGAAGATGCCCACATGGCATCTGGCTATGAAAAGCAGTGGGGTTTCTGCCTGCTAGGGAGAGATGGCTGGAAATTCAGGTACCCTCTTAAAGGGCAAAGTACAAAATTTCATGTGAAGCCATTTACCTTGTTCTTTGGCAGAGGTAAGGCAGAGCGGTTTAGAGCTGTGTGAAGAGAATTCAGGATTGGTGGCTTTGTGGATACACCTCGAAGGACAGCCACCTAGATTCCTGTGCAAGTCATTACCCTGTAGGGCAGAGGATATCTTTCTTCAGCAAACCTTTATCATCAAGACACCTTTGTCTGGGAGGAAACAATTGCCCCACCCATTGGAAAATACCCTATATAATAAACAGCTAATATGCTAATTAGACCAGAAGGCAGAACCACCTTCTGGAATGACCAATGGGAGGGGGGCGGAGCCAGCAAGCCATAATGGTCCGTGAGTCTCTCCAAGAAGGAAGCCCAGGCCACCCAGCCAGTGGTGCCGCCAGAGGGCCTCCCCCTGCAGAGCAATTGATCATGGACCCCTGCAATATGTTGCCCCAAAGAGGAAGGCCCAGGCCATCTCTCTCTCTGAGCCTGGAGCCATCCTCCCCACTTGAAATCCCAGCCTTCCCCTAGAGCCCAGCTCAAATCTCAGAGGCTTAGGCCAGGAGGGGTGCAGGGGGCCCTCTCCTGTCTACCAAGCATGTTCTACCTCAATGCAGGAAACACGCACCTGTTTTGCACTATTATTGCCTCTGTCCCTGCCTGCTGCCCCAATGCAGTGTTCCGAACAGAGAGACCATGTCTTTTTACACACTTCTAGCAGGTTTTCCTTTGGTATGACAGAGAGAGTGGGTAACTACTCTCTGGGTTTGCTGTGAGGACAAAATCATGTCTAACCAGGCTGGTGCAGTGCCTGTTTCTACATACAAGGGCAGCCGTCTTCTGCCTGGACCCCAGCAATATGGGCATTCGGTACTGGGTGAATGCGGAATCCAAGCCACTTTGGACACTTCCCAGGGGCCACCAGACTCCCGGGGGGAGCTATGGAAGTAGGAAATGGAGGGCAGAGTGGTGAGCAGAGAAAGGAGATGCAGGTGGGGGGGGGGGGTGCCCAGATGAAGGGGCCTGCTCAATTTCCAATCAGGACACATGCCAAGGTTTCAGGCTCAATCCTCAGTAGGGGGCATGCATGAGGCAGCCAATCAATGTTTCTGCATCTCCCTCTTTCTCTCTAAAAATAAAAATCAATAAAAACATAAAAGATAACCACCAGTGGAGGGTAAAGATATTTGGATAACATGCTTAAAAAGCTAGAATAAAAACTAGCTAAGTCTATCACTAGCAAAACTACCCTTCAACAATGAAGCTGAAATAATATTCCTAGATATATATACATAAAACTGGGAGAATTTGCAGCTAGCAAGTTTTACTTACAAGAAATACTTAAGGCCCTAACCAGTTTGGCTCAGTGGATAGAGCATCTGCCTGCAGACTGAAGGGTCCCAGGTTCAATTCCGGTCAAGGGCATGTACCTTGGTTGCTGGCACATTTCCAGTAGGGAGTGTGCAAGAGATGGCTGATGGATGTTTCTCTCTCATCGATGTTTCTAACTCTCTATCCTCTCTGTAAAAAAATCAATAAAATATATATTTTTAAAAAAATACTTAAGGACCAAGAGAAATTGAAACCAGATGAAAACTCAAATCTACATGAAAAAAAAAATATGGTAAGCAAAATTATATAGGTAGACATAGAAGACAGTATCAATACATTTTCTTGACTGATTTAAAAGCCAGCATACAACACAATCATTATAAAATTGTATTGTTGGGATTATAACATATAAAGACACCATATTTATATCACCAAATGCAGACAGAAGAGGGAGGAATGGTTCTATTTTGGAGAAAGAAAATGACATTAGGCAGTAATGTGAATCCAGAGGAATGCCTCCTTAAGAAATACACTAAATTAATCTTTCAATGGTGTTGTCACTCAGTCCCCTCCATAAATTAAAATCCCATCCGTACAATCATTGATACAACAGAACACTCCACTGAAGACCAGAACACACATTCTTATCAAGTGCACATGGACCATTCTCCAGAAAGGCAAGATGCCAGGCAATAAAACAACTAAGTATGTGTTTTCACAATGGAGTTTAATCAGAAGTCAACAGAAGGAAATTTGGGAAAGCCTAATACTGGGAAATTAAACATACATCTAAATAACCCATGTGTCAAAAAAGAAATCACAGGAACAATTAAAAAGTGCTGTGAGCCTCCCCCAACCCCAGCCCTCTTCCCCACAGGCAGAGGACAGAGTGCTAGAGCAGGAGACAGCCACTGGTAGTCCAAGGGCCATTACCAGCCTTGTAACCAGAGCAGCATTCATCCCAGACAATCCCCCTGAACCTGCCTCCAAGACCCCTTTTCACTGACTTCTTAGTGAGCCAAAGCAGACCAACCTAGGCTGATTTCCCCAGCCTTATTTCACCGACCCCAGCTTTAATAAACTTCTAAAATTCACCCAGACTTGTGTTGTGAAATCTTTCCTGCATGAAGTCAAGAACCCACATCCTAACTGGCCCTAAGCAGACCCACCAAGGGCCGGGTCCCCTTCCCAGTAACCCTAGTGCAGCACATAGCTGACAGTGTTGAAGAAACCGTCATGGCATTGGAAACACCCACTGGCAGTGTAGGAGGACCCCTCTAGCACAGAAGGCATTTTTCTGTTGCAGACACTCACTACCTATTGGCACACATCTTTGTAGCTCTTAGTCACGCTGAGGTCTCAGCTACATGGGCAAAATATTTTGTTTACTGTGGTCCATGGTGCACAGCAAAGTGAGGGGCTATCACAGGGTCCACTGGCTCAGCAGGTAAAATGCGTGGAAAATGCACTCAGCATGTGTGTACATGGTCGTCAACTAGGTTCATTTCTTCTGTCACCTGGTGATGGATGTGTGAACATTCCATCCCAAATTCCCAGTTTGGCAACAGGATCTTTTGGGCTGAGGGCAGTGGATAAGCAGATAGTAGAGAAGCTGCAAGTCCTTCCCCTGTCTAAAAGGACTGAGTCAGTCACAGGAGACAATGAGACCCCTCAGCATCGGGCTGATTCTGGGAATCTCCATAAACCCCCTAACCAGCCCTTCTGCCCTAGTACTGCTTCAGACTGGCATTTCCCAAACTTGTTCGTTACTGCAATGGATGCGGAAACTGGACTTCTAAGCTGCTGCTGGAGTTACTCATTTCCTCTGGGTGTCTTCCATGTGATGAGGTGTGTGTGTTAATAAACTTCTTTTTCTCATTAATCTCTTATTACAGGGTCCAGACAGGGGTCGATGGGTGGAGGGAATACTTTCCCTCCCTCACCCTGGTGCTCCAAAGCCTTGGGGAGGTGTCCATCTGTTCTTGGGGCAGTAGCGGCTCCTCCAAACTCACACCCGGAGGCTGTCTCATCTCCTGGCTCCGGTGGCCATCCAGGAAATCCCCAACATTGAAGTCCAAATCTTGCTTCAGGCAAGAACCAATTAGATTCTCAACAGGAAGTAAAACAGTAGGCAGTCAACTGGGAAAGGATGGGGAATCTTTCCAGCCAGAAAAGTGGCAGACTCCTGGCTTGACTGAGAAAAACCTTCTGGGTACGTAATTTGAAGGAATCGTTCAAAGTGGTACATACATTTAAAAAAGTCCAACAATGGGGAAATGAGTAAATAAATAATCAAGTAACTAGCTACTGAACACCATGGAACCTAGAACAGTTGATCATATTATTAAAAAAAAAAAAAGGAAAGAAAGAATCCCGCAGAAGCTGGTTTGGCTCAGTGGATAGAGCGGCGGTCTGCGGACTGAAAGGTCCCAGGTTCGATTCCGGTCAAGGGCATGTACCTTGGTTGCAGGCACATCTCCAGTGGGGGGGTGTGCAAGGGGCAGCAGATCAATGATTCTCTCTCATTGATGTTTTTAACTCTCTATCCCTCTCTCTTCCCCTCTGTAAAAAATCAATAAAATATATTTTTAAAAAAACAACTGTGTAACTTAAAAAAAAAAAAAGAATCCCATTGTAGTTACATGAAATGCAGCCAGCCACTGTCCCCAACTTTGCTGTGGATGGCAGGCCTTTGCCCATGGACTCTCCCACCCAATTCAAAACAGTGACATCACAGACAATGGTTTATTTACTGTGAGGACAGTCCTTACCACACATAAAATCTTAGGGTACGCGGCTTCTTGTGAAAAAGCACCAAAACAAGCCAATAGAAACCCTGGATTGGGGTGGAGAGATCTGTGCAGTTTCACCCCTTCCCCAGGCAAGGCCAGTGTCTTTCCTCAGCCAGTGCTGTGGGATGAGGAGCATCTGGGGGTCTTGAGGGCTTGTGCCCAGGTTCCGCAGACCCCTTATGCAGTACCTTTTGCTCTGAGCACTCTTCCTCTGGCCTTTCCCATGCCCGCTTCTCTCCTGATGACTTCTGCACCCCAAATAATGGGGCATCCACATCCAGCACCATTTTCTAGGACCAGACCTTGAGACAGGCTGACGGACTCACAAGACAGCAGCTCTTTGGGGATGCAGCCCGGGGGCTGGCAAGGCCGCAGGCTGAAGCCTCAGAAAGTTCCACAGGCGCTGGCCTCAACGCTGACCAGCCGGGCTCCTGCTAAGAGAGCCCCCCAGGATCCTGGCTTGGGCTGTGCAGACTGTGAGCAATGCACTGATGACATCAGATGGCCATGGAGGGTCACCTGGGAGAGGCTGTGGCCCCCCGGTGCTGGCTCCCGGGATGACAGAGGAAGAGGGATTTTACTAAGCACACACAGTGGCACTGGAGCTCTTCCTGTGGCTCAGGACACCCTTGAAGACTCAAAGGCATGAGACCCCTGCTCACTGGGAAGCCAGCCCATCCCCAAGCCCTCCCTTGGGTCGGCAGATGGTCATGGGGGTGGGGCTGCTAGACAGAGGAGAGAAGAGGGCCCGGAGCGTCCCTGAGAAGGGCGTCTCAGGGAAGGCATACAGGAGTGACCCATCGGTGGCGCTGTAGAATGCCAGGTGCCCCGCCTCATAGTCCAGAAAGATGCCTACCCGCCGGGGTGGGTCTCGAAGGGGGGCAAAGGCCCGCTCAGAGGAGTTGTAGAAGCCCCCCAGGAACACCAGGATCCAGAACCCGTTGCCTGCGAAGAGTTCACCCTTCTCCTTGCGGTTAGCATTCTCCCTGCAGACGCCCAAGGCCCAGCTGGCCCGCTCGCCCACCTCCACTTCCCAGTAGTGGCGGCCGGAGCTCAGGGGCTCCCGGCCCAGCACACAGGGCCCGGGGTCAAAGCGCTCGGGGCTGTCAGGCAGGGGCTGCCGCAGGTCCCCCCGCCGCACGCTCTGCATGTCTTCTGACAGGACCAGCTCGGGGTTCGCAGTGTCAGGATCCAGCGTTATGTCCCCTGCAGACAGAGCAGTGGTCACCTCGGGCCCCTTCTGCCGGCCTCAAACGTCCTTATAGTTGGCTAGAGTGACTGCTCCCCACCTTGTGTCTTCCCGGGAAGATCACCTAACCACTTGCAGGTGCAACTCGGAATGTTCTGGAAGGTGGTCATACACTGCCTTGCAATTCCCTCTCTTGAAATTCAGGAGGAACCAGAGTGCTTTCTGTCTACTCTTCCAATCCTGTGTCCCAGCCCCGCTTTCACCATGGGCTCCCCAGCCTGGGCCTACACAGGTGTCCTGGCACCCGATGATCGACCTTCACTTTTCCTAAATGCACTAGGGCAGCTGGCCCTCCCTCAGCAGCCTGCCCTGGCCCTTCCCCTTCTCAGCCCTGACCCAGGAGCCTCTGTGCCGTTCCTACCACAGGCCCTGGGATGGGCACTTCTGGACCAGAGCTGGCTAGCTGGGTCTCTCCCCCACCCGCCCCCCTTGGTACGCTGTAGCACCCACCTCGGAACCTCTGCAGAGCCTCCACCAGCCCCGGGACCCTGCACACCGTCCTCATCTCCATGGGCACCACCTTAGGCGGCTGCAGCTTCACTTCCTGGACCCTGGAGAGGCAGCCAGGTGTCACCCCCAGGGTGGGCCCAGCCGTACCCGACCTCTTCCCGAGGGAAAGGCTGCACTCCTACCTGCGCAGGGTGTCCATGATGTCCTGTGGGAGAGACATGTAGTGTCAGCGCCCTACTTCCACCTGTTACAGTGTCCCCCCCACATGCCCCTGCGGCCTCACCTGCCCCCACCCCATCCAGCCCATAGGCATCTTACCCAGCCTCCATTAGCTGCCCTCCCTCATGTCCTGACTCAGAGCCCAACTTCCAGGTGAGGCTTCTCTGCTTAGGTGCTCCTTCCCCCCAAAGTGATACATAAGAGCATTTCACTCATTGTCATGGGCTGGTTGTAGCCCCCAAACCCACACTGGTGTCCTAATGACCAGTATCAGAATGTGTCAGTATTTGAAGAACAGGCTTCCTAAAGAGGTGATTATATTAAAATGAGGCCACTAGGGCAGACCTAATCCCATACGGCTGGTGTCCTTACAGGAAGCGGGATGAGGACACAGGTGTACACTGAAGCAGAGGCCTCAGGAGGACCAGCTCTGCCCACACCTGGACCTCAGGCTCCAGGACTGTAGAAATAAAGGTCTGCTGCTTAAGCCACCTGTGTGTCACTTGTTACACAGCCTGAGCTGACAGAGACAATCTGTTACTGGGAACGCCAGCTCCTGACAGTAAACAGCTTGTCTTTTTAGAACACTGCCTAGCACACAGCAGGGACCCAGCCCACTTTGTAAATCAAATGAGCCCCACAAGCAGTCATTCTAACTATACTGTGTGCCAGCGACCAGGCCAGAAACCAGGATGAAGAGGGCAAGTAAAAGGTTGTGCCAACATGGGTTCCCTTAGGGGCAGGAAACTGCACACACAGTAGTTGATTCTGTCTGGGGAGCCTGGGGACCTGCTAGGCCACTGAAGAAAGGGGAGACTAGTTTGTGAAACCTGCGGATTCATCAGGAGAAACAAGAGACAGTGCAGGCCTGGGAGAGGCACATCTAAAGGGCCAGGTACAGAGCGGTTACAAACAGCCGTCCTTACTTGTTCCACTGGGTAAGGGGAAGTGTGTGTGTGTGGGGAAGGGGTGTTCAGTCTTGGTTGTCACAAGGTCTGGAGCTGCCCTAACCACTTAGGAGAGGGATGGAGAAGGGGCCCACCCAGGGGTAGGAAGGGGGGCCTGGACCTTGAAGGAAGTTGACTTCTGTAGAGATCACCTGGCCACTCTGGGCAGTAGGGACTAGATAGCTCTCCCTATAGGAAAACACTCCGTGCCCACAGAGGATGGCTGGGGGGAATCTTGGAGGGGGCCCAGGACCCCAAACCCTGGTGTAGCTAAGGCCCTGGGATCATATGTCACTCAGAGTTCTGCTTCTTCTGTTTCCATTGGGGCTCCTGGACAGGTACCAATAGCGGTTCTCAGTGGGGTTCAGGATCCATATCCATTCCCCAGGCAGAGGCATGTCTGTAAGGCCCTCACCCCAGTCTTTCAGAGGTGGACAGGACCGCCAGAAGAGGCCAAGCTCGGAGAGCGTGCTCCACCGAGGGCTCCCTCCTTCCTGCTCCCAGGTCTGCATCCCCTCCCATTAGAGCCCCCGCGTGCCCATTCCAGCATGTGCTCACCTGCAGCAGTCCCAACGCCGGCAGCTGGCAGCGCCCCTCCAGCTCAGCCACAAGGTCGGCCAGCTGGGCGCTCTGTTGCCCAAGGCGGGCAGCGTTCTCCTGCAGCGGCGGCAGCACCTCCAGCTCCTCCTCCTCCAGCCTCTGCAGAAGCCGTTGCTCTTCCTCTGCCAGCAGGCGGCGCAACCGCTCAAACTCTGCGCGCACATTCTGCCGCTGGGTCTCCACCATCTTCTGCAGAGTGGGGAGGGGGGAGGCACCGAGGGGACAGTGAGCCGAGACCCACAAACCTACCCCGAGGGTTGAGGGTCTAGAGCAGGAGAGCTGCGTTATGAGCAGCATTCCTGTGAACAGCGCCATCCAGCAGTGGGGGCACCAGCGCCCCACCTCCCCACCCCTGGGACTCGGCACTCAGCCACCTGCCTGCCACAGGGCACAGGTCTCCTCCGCCTGCGCCTGGAACAGCAGGGCATCTTCCATTTGCTTCTGCAGGTGGTCCAGGGACTTCTCCAGCTTGCCCTGCAAGGAAGTGAGGGCAGCCAGTAACCCCACCGGGCCCTGCTCCTAGTCCCACTGCCCAACCCCACACAGCGGACTGAACAAACTGGATCTGCTGGGAAGATGCCCTCTTCCCGGGACAGCCTCCCACCACCCAGGCTGACCAGATCCTAGCCCATTTTTCCCTTCCTCCAGCCTTCCTTCCTCTCCGACCTTTCCAGCCTGACTCCCTACCTCATGGCAGCCTTCTTTCCTGTGAATCCCTTCACTTCAGTGCCTGTCCTGAGCTTACAGAAGTCCAGCTTCATCGGAAGGCGCCAAGAGGCACTCACGCTTGGATCCAGCTGCCTTGAGCCTGACTTCAGCAACACCCAACTGTCTACATGAACCTACTTACCACGGCTTTCTGCTGTGCCTAGATACCTCTCCATACCCACGGAGGATGGCTAGGGGGGAATCCTGGAGGATTCCCAGCATCAGGACAAAGTAGGCACCAGTAAGTGTGAGGGAGAAGGAGCAGTTGTGTCAGAACCCTCTGCCCTCCCCCGCCTGCCTAATGGCGGGAGGTGAATTTCCCAGGCGGGTGGCCACCCTGTACCAGGAAGGGGGCACCCTCTCCACCAAAGATGAGGTGTCATCCCTGAATGTGCCGAACAGACCTTACTAAAAGAATGCCAACCTCCCAGTAGTTCCCCACATGATTTCCTCATTCCTTTTCCACAGCTTATTGGCCCTAGCAGCCCAAACCCTTTCCTTTGTCTCGTCACTTCCCCACGATTTATCGTGCTCTGTTAAAATGAGTGCTCTTAAGTCTAAGCACTCATTTCGGTTTTGCACTCTTTCGCCTACAAAGTCATGTGCAATATGAAATCTAAGACGAATAAAACTATGTCTTCCCATCTGTTCAGGTTAACATTTGTCAGTTTAATTGGCAAGTCTACTAACAGGGGAGAGTAAACGTTTCCTCCTCTACAGTAGAGCTGAGTGCTGCCCTATGAGACTATCAGGTCAGCTACAAGGAGCCCTTAGAGGGCTGGTGGCCACTCTTCACTCTCACGGTCACTTTCTGTGCCCTGATCTGGGTGTTTGGTGACAGGAGTGCAAACCTGCTGGACATGAGTAGACAGTTTCCTGCAGGCATATAATACCCCAAAGTGAGAGGAAAATCCATGTTGAGAGTGGCTCATGGATCAGGTTTATTGTGGTACCCCCGTAGGCTTGTTCTATGACAGTGACCTATTGGCCAAGTATTAATTCTAATGCTGACTAAATGCTGTACATGGTGTGCCACACACACACACACACACACACACACACACACACACACACGGCGCGCGCTGGTGGTGATGCAAAATGCAAGCTAGTCAAAACTTTGAAAGATGCCCCCACCCCGACCCCCACCCCCCATGCGTCCATGCCTGGGTTCCAGAAACAAACCCTAAGGCAACTGGCCAGGTGAGCCAGGTGAGCTGTTTGCCCACAGCAGAGGGAGTAGTGCTGGTGTGAGTTTGGGTTTTAAGGAAATGCGTTTCCGGAACAGGAAACAAGGCTTCTCAGCCTGAGACTTAAGCACAGGTGAGCTCTGGTGAGTCAGAGGGCAGCGGTGGCCCCGAGTAATCCACTCGGAGAGCCTGCGGGGCCCTGCCGTCTGCCTCCAGGAGTGGCTTCTCACCAGGACTTCAGCACCGGCTGAGGCCCCAACACGGGCCCCACCCGGAGATGAGCTCTCATTCGTCCCACCTGAAGGAACACCACCTCTGCTGTTCTCTCCCCACTTTCTCCTGCGCTGGGCTCTGTCCCAGCCACTGTGCAGTCACCCCGGCCCAGTGCCCGCCCCAGCCGGACCTCGGCCGCAGAGTCCGCCTCCTTCTCCCAGCTCCCCGCTGCTGAGGGGCGCCCCAACCCCGGAAAGTGCGGGTCTGGGAAGGGCCAAGCGCCCCGCCCCCCTTAAAACAAAACCCCAGGCCAGGCCAGGCCTGCGCCGCGCCGCCCCGGCGCACCTTGAGGTCCTCGGCGGCGTCCTGCAGCGGGCGGACGCGGTGCGCCCAGTGCTCCCCGGAGCGCTCGCAGGCGGCGCACAGCAGGCGCAGCTCGTCGGCGCAGAAGGAGGCCAGCGGCTCGCGGTGCGCGGCGCACACGCCCTGGGGCACCGGGGACGGCGGGTGCAGGCGCCGCGCCATCTCGGCCATCTTGGCCAGCGGGCGGTTGGGCCGCAGGTTCCGCTGCGGGGACAGCTCGCGGCACTCGGGGCAGGCGTACGGGCCCTCGGGCTGGCCCCAGCAGCGCCGGATGCACTCGCGGCAGAAGTTGTGGCCGCAGTCGGTCATCACCGGGTCCATGAAGTAGTCGAGGCAGATGGCGCAGGTGGCCTCCTCCTGGAGGTTGGTGGACAAGTCGGAGGCGGCCATGGCGCGGGGAAGCGGAGCAGGCGGCGCTCCCCGCGAGTCGGGCGCTGGCCAGCCGCCGTCGGGACTTGGGGGGACCGGGGACTCCGGAAACCGGGGGGCGCGGGGGCTGTTGGAACGCCAGGCGCAGGGTGCACGGGGCGCCGCGGCTCCCGGATGCGGGCAGGAGGCAGCGCGGCGGAAGCAGGAAGCAGCTGCTTGGGGGGCGGGGTTAGAGGCGGGGGAAACACCCGCTCTGGTCCAGGATTGGCTGTATGGCTGTCACGTGGCCCGCGGGAAGGCTGTGCGCCTTCTGAGCTGGCGTCTCCGACGCCGCCCGTGCGCGTTCTCGAGGCTCCGGCTCGCCCAGGGGTCGCGCGGCCTGTTGGGTCCTCGGGCCAGGGGAAGGGCGGGGGCAGGGGCCGGGCCAGCGGGGCGCCCGGCACAGTCACTGGGGTCCTCGAGACTGCGAGGGCTGGGGTCTCCCCAGCCGCTCCCGTGCGCCCAGCGCGGTCGGAATGAATGGGTGGACGCGCTCTGCCCGTGGGGACTCTGGTCGTGTTGCGGTAGGAGCGCGCGGGCTGGAATTCCGGGGTGCTGATGGCTAATGCGCCGCAAACTGCGGGGGTGGGTGGGGGTGGAGAGTGAAAGGAGAGAACCCGCCCACACTCATGATCCTTACTTATTGAATTCAACCCCCCACTTCCCGCAGGTGCATGGGGGTGGGGGTGGGGGTGAAAAGGGACGGAGGTGGGCAGCTCTGAAGTTTTTAAGGGTTCAGCTTGAAAACGTGTACGTCCTTGTTTTCCCTATGGAAGACCCAGACGTGGAATTGCTGATAACAAGAAAGGTGGACCCACAGGTTTCCTTATAACACCCCGAACCGGGAGGACCCAGGGAGTGGCAGGTGGAGGGCAACGTGTCTAAAAAAGCTGCAGCACCAGGGCCTGGTCCCTAAGTGTTACTCAGAGTGGTATGGGTCCCCTCTGTCAAGCACCTGTGAACACAGTGTGTGGTGTAACTGCTTTAATCGGATTCCACTTCGGCGTGGTGAGCCCCCGGCCAGCAGGGCCCTCCAGTGCTCCCGGAGATCAGCAGGGCAGGTGGCGTGCCCGCGCTCCCTGCCTACACACCTATCCCTTCACCCACAGTGTCACTGTTGAGATGACCATCTGGCCGGATTTGGGGACCCCAAGGCAAAAGAAGGGCTTCAGGGGGCCCGGGAAGGTTGGCTCGACATAGGTGTGCAGGTGGGACCCGCTGCTGGCATTGTAGAAAGACACCTCCCCGGCCTCAAAGTCCAGGAAGATGCCCACATGGCTGGGGGGCTCCGTCAGTGTGATGGGGAACAGGGTGGACACGGGGGGCTCGTACTTCTTTCCCTTGCACAGCTGAACGACCCAGAATCCATTTTCGGGGGACTTGGGGACTCTGTCCGTCCGGCTCACATTGTCCCTGCACACACCCAGGGCCCACAGCGCCTCGCCCGTGAGGTTCATGCCCACCTCCCAGTAGTGCCGCCCTGAGGAGAAGGTCTGGCAGCCCACCGCACAGGGGTAGGCCAGGAACCTGTCCTTGCTGCAGGGCGTGCCGTCCGGTGGCGTGCTGAGGTAGTGCCTCTGGTGGCTCTCGTACAGGAGCAGGTAGGGGTACGCTGTGGCAGGGTCGGGTACCACGTTCTCTGCAGACAGGCCCGGCACAGGGACGGGGCTGAGTCCTCCCTGTGCTCCCTGGCCACCACTCTCCCAGCCCCCCCCTCCCCCCCTTGGCCGAGTCCAGCTGTGAGCCTGGGGCCGTACCCCAGTGCCAACGGTGATGGTGCCAAGGAGATGAGCTGGGGACCATTTGGGCCTCTGGGAGTGGCAGGTAAGGGTAGGATGGGAATTCCCAGTGGACATCAAGGCTCCCAGGGGTGGCTCTGGTCGGGAGACAGGCCCCACTTACCTTGGAAACTCTTGAACACCTCTATCTGCCCGGGGACCCTGCAGACAGTCCTCAGCAAGATGGGGGTGGCCTCTGGGTACTGCACACTCAAGTTGTTCTTCCTCCAGAGGGGACAGATGTTACTGACCCCTCTGGCCCCGTGTGAAGCCCTCCCTGCCTGCACCTCAGGCGCTCATATACCTGGCCTGAGGCTCCTTCATGTCCTGCGAAAACACGGAGAGAGGGAGGTCTGCTACCTCGTTAGGAACCTGGGGCGTCCCCAAACCCCCTGTGCGGACATGTCTGGCCTGCGGAGCAAGGAGAATTCTTAATGCTTTCCCGTGGCCCTCTTCCCACTTTTCAGAATGGATCCCTATCGCGTGGCCACCCAGCTCTGCTGCTGTCCCCCTGCACGTTAGTAAGAACACAAAAGCTGACCTGCTCTGGACTGGTGGGAAGGCACGGGGGACCCAATGGCGCTTCCACGCTGCAGGCCTTGGGCAGCTCAGGAGTGTTCAGTGGGTGGCGGATGGGCTGCTTTTTACTATAAGACCAAGTGTTCCCCAAAGTGGGGGCGAATGCAGTCTTAACTAAGCCAGGACACTGTTGTCCCAAGATGCCAGGACATCTCGCCAGGAGACTGGTGCTGACCTCGCATGTGGCATTTGCTTCAATGTGAGTGAGATGGCTCACGGCATGAAATACGTTTTTTGCTATGGGTTCCATTGTTCCACACAATTGACTTGTCGGCCAACATAATCACTCCCACTTCTCTGGCTTCCCAGGGCAGGCCATCCCTAGCAGGCCAGCTGCACCTGCTCCCCCATTCCAAACCCTCAGCAGGATCACATGACTTGCTCCTGCCTTGATCTCACCAGGCCTGACCTGGCTGGTGTGTCCCTGCCCGATGTCACCAAGTGGATGACAGCTGCCCCTGGGCTATCCCCCGCCCCTCAGACAAGGAAGGGAATGCAGAACACGGTGCCTAAGACTGATTGTCCCGCAGCCCACATGGAGCCCGACCCCAGCCCCTCAGATGAGGCTGTATTTGGAGGCGGGGCCTTTAGAAGGTGATGAAGGTGAAATGAGGTCACAAGGGTGGGCCTCAATCTAATGTGACTTGGTGACCTTAGCAGAGCAGGCCAGCTGCACAGGGGACGACCATGTGCAGACAGACACAGGGAGGACATGGCATCCACACACCAAGGAGAGAGGCCTCCAGGCTGAGAGAAATGTTTAAGCCCCCAGCCCATGGTGTTTGTTACTCAGCCTGAGCTGACGAAGACAGAGCCCTCCCTGTGGGTCTGTATTTGCCCTGGCGGGTCCACCCCACCGGGGCCAGAACGTGTGTCCACCTGCCCAGCCAGGTGAGTAGGGCGTCTCACCTGCAGCATCTGCAGGGGCTCCCGGGTGCTGCAGTCCTCCAGCCGCAGCAGCAGGGTCTCCAGGGAGCAGCTCTGCTGCTCTAGTGCGAACATATTCTCCCGCAGCCTGGCAGCCGTGTCCTGCTCCTCCTGCCGCAGGGCCTGCAGGAGGCGCTGCTCCTCTTCCACCAGGAGGGCAGCCATCTTCTTGAACTCGGTCACAATGAGCCGTCTCTGCTGCCTCACCATCTCCTGCAGGGTGGGACCTGGAGGTGAGGCACTGCCAGGGGACTACCATCCTGTGTGCCCCCCAACTTGGAGGGGGCACATCTCCTGGCCACAGTGACCCACGGGAAACCAGGACGGCTGGGGGAGGGGAAGGAGCCACACAGTGGTGGCTCTCGTACAAATGGCCATCAAGGCCTCTGTGTACCCCTCAGTCCCTGCTTCAAAGCGGCCAATCGGGGCTGAGTGCACATTTTCAGTCCTGATTGGTGGGAATTCCGTGCCTTTCCTGGGTCTTGTGCTGTCATCCACCTTGAGGGTCCGCGGGTTCTAGAAGCCCTGCAGCACCCTGGGGCCTGGCCGGGCCTTCCCGCCCGTTCCTCAAGGTCTCAGCACCTGCCTGCCACTCGGCCAAGGCCTGCTGCTCCCTGGTCTGCAGCGCCTGGGTCTTCTCCATCTCCTCCCGCAGCTGCCCCATGTCGCCCTCCAGCTTCAGCTGCAGACAACAGACCGCGGGATAGGGGTTGGAGACCCCCTGCACACCCACGGCAGGAGGTGCCTCTGAAGCTGCACTGTAAAGGGGATGGACATACCCCATAACATGCCCCGTGGGCGTGAGGATTGTTTTGAGCTGCAGGCAGAAAGATACCTTCCAAGACTCCTGTTATATGACTAAAAGCAGAAGCTGCTAAGGAAGGAGGGCTGCCACGAATCCGCCTCTCGGGGGAAGGTTTGTGGCTCTGAAGGAGGTAGGAGGAGGTAGACAGTGGGATACCACTAATGGACTTTGTCTTTCGTTAGTTTCCCCCAAATATTTACTTTGTTATGATCTGAATGTGTCATGTGTGTCCCTCCCACCCCCCGCCCTGCACAAGTTCACCTTGAATCCTAACCCCCAAGGAGAATGGGCCTTTGGGAGGTGGTGAGGTCTGAAAGGAGGAGCCCTCAGGAATGGGGCTGGTGTCCATGAACCGGGAAGGGAGCCCCCACTGACTGCTGGTGCCCTGATCTTGGACTTCCAGCCTCCAGAGCCAGGCGCATGAAGTTCTGGCTGTTCATAAGCCACCCTGTCTTGTGTTCTGTGACAGCAGCTGGAATGGACCAAGTTGGAGCCTGTCACCTTTCCCTTTGTCTCTTCTCTCCAAGTCCTATTCCTTGCTCAGATGCCACCTGTGCTGTGTGCGGGCCACATGTTAACAGTTTGCCTTTCTCTCTTTGCCATGTCTTTTCTCAGTCTGACTTGGGGTGGAAGAAAAAGGCTCTTTCCTCCCCTTACAAAGGGTCAGCGGCCTGCCCGCACAGATGGCCCTGAGGCTGCTTTGTCAGCCTGGGCCCCTGAATAACTGAAAAGAAGGGGACGCTCAGCTGGCCCTGCCACCTGCCTGCTTTTTTGTGGGAGCCGCAGGGTCCTGCACACGGGCTGTTTGGTACAGCGGTTCTCCTAGCTGGCTGGTACACCCTGGACACACAGACACGCACTCGGGCTCCTCACCCCTGGGCCCACCTTGTGCTCCTTCACGGCCTCCTCCACCGGGACCACCTTGTGAGGCCGATGTTCCTGAGACTCCCTGCAGACCACGCAGATGGGGCTCTGGTCATCCTCGCAGAAGAGCTTGAGCACCTCCTGGTGCACCCGGCACAGGTCCCTGCTCTGGAAGCCCGGGTGCTGCCGCGCCATCTCGGCCACCTTGGTCAGCAGGCGGTTGGGCCGCAGGGCCCTCTGGGGGGACAGCTCACGGCACTCGGGGCAGGGGAAGACCCCCCTGCGCTTCCTCCTGCCCTTCTTGCCTCTGGTCTTCTCCCAAGTCAGCCGGATGCACTCCCGGCAGAAGTTGTGGCCACAGGTGGTCATAACGGGGTCGGTGAAATAATCAAGGCAGATGGAGCATGTCGCCTCCTCCTGCAGCTTTCTGGAAAGTTCCACGGCATCCATGGCTCCTGGGAAAGAAACAGTATCCGCCCACACCCTCTGCCCAGAGCCCCAGGCACGTGAGGTGTCCTCTTGCAGAAGGCACTGAGCACGGTCCTGTGAGGGCACCTGGCTTGCCTTCAGTACGAGGCCTAGGTGCCTCCGAAAGCTGGCACCCTTTCCACACCAGCCAGGTGCCCCTAAGCTGCCACCTGTCTCCGCCCAGCCATGCCCAGTTTTCCATTCAGAGCCCATCCCACCCCTCCCGTGATGAATGTGCAGGAATCCTACTAGTCAGTTTGGCAAGAAGACCCCTCCCCATTTCTCTTCCTTGTGATTTTCCATCACTAACCCCCTCACCTTGCCCTTGGCCATCCTGCCACCTTGTGGGCTAGAGTAGGAGATGACCCCATCTCCCTATTGCAATAGTCTTGAATAAAGTCTGCCTTTGGGTTTAGCCAGTGTCAGAATCAGTTATTCTCTAACAAGACATCCATGCAACAAAGGAAAGGAGAACTTTAAAAGGAAAAATCAGAGTTGGACAAGATCTCTGCTTGACCAAAAACTATTCAGGCTCCCAGAACTTTCCAAATAGGCGCTGGGCTTCCTTGTTGGTGTCTGCATTGTCTGAGTTTAATCAGAATCCCAATGTGGGTTTAGACAGAAGCCCCTACCTAGAGGCTTCCTGTTAGTAATTTCCTATCGCTAACCCACCTTGACCGGAAATCCCCACTGGCCCATCCTGTCCTGAGAGTTGAGCATTTCTGCGCGGTTCTGTGCTGTCCCCTACAGCAGTCCTGAATAAAACGTCCTTACTGCTCTACCACCAGCTCTGGTTTCCTTTGCTGAGATGCAGCGCAGAAGACACACGATGATTCATGCATACACATGTATGCACACAAATGTATTCACACACACAGGGGCACACGCACACACTTCGGTGTTCGAACACCCATGCACCTCCTGGGGTGGTCACTGGGGCGAGTCAGAGTAGATCTGAAAGTCATTTCTGACCCACAGCACTGTCCGGTCCCTGCCCTGCCACTGCCCAGAGAGAGGCTCTGATATTTCTGTGGAAGCTGCCTCTCTCTACACAGAGCCCTGGGAGTCAGTCCCTTCCGCTGCCTACCCACCTGAAGCTGGATGAACATAGGACGGTCTGGTGGGCACCGGTCTGGGCCAGGCTCAGGGGAAGGGGGCCAAGGACTCTGGGTCAGTGAAGTGGACCCTTGGCCCTGGGTCCTGAGTGAGGATGCTCCTAGTAATTAGGGCTAACGCAGGTGACCCTTCTGGTTCCAACTGACAACCACCTTCAAGCTGGGGCCTCAGTGTGCAGGGCGCCCACAGGGCGACCACCAGACCGCCCCTGGATGGACCAGTACTCACCGCGGAGGGGGGTGCACGCTGCTGGACCAGGCGCCCCGGACCACGACCAGGAGCGCAAACAGGGGCGCTGGAAAACCTGCGTTTGCGCCGCGGAGACCAGGGGGAGGGGGAGGGACGGTGGCCTCAGGGGCGCGGGCTTTGTGGCGTCAGCAGAGGCTAGGAGGCCTTAGGGGGCGTGTGAGGGTGCGGGAGGAGTGGGCAGGTGGAAGGCGGAGGGCAGTGGGTCGGGGAGGGATTTTTGATAGGCCAACTGGGATGGGCCAGGGTTGAAGACGGGACCAAACCTTGTCCCTGGATTGGGGTAGGCGAGTTGGGGGCAGAGGGCGGACGTCGGGTATGAGGGAAAGGAAAGGCTTTGGGGAGAAGCGGAGAGGGCAGCGGGGGCGGGGTGTGCTGGCGTTGGGAGGAAGGTGGAGGTGGCAGAGGCAGCAGAAACCGGCGCCCCGTGGGGGAGGTGATGGGGGTCGGGGCTCCAGAGGCGCCGGGGAGGAAGGAGAGGGGCAGCGCCCGGACCCGGGTTAGGAGGGGCGGGCGGGTTCAAGGTGCACGGAACAGGGTGGGTCCCCGAGGGTCTGGCCAGCGGCGGAGGTGGTTTTGGTGGGTCGCTGACTCCCAACCCTGCCCTTAGCCCCTGCCCTGGCCATTTGAGTCCTGCCCCTGGGAGCGGACACAGGAGGAAACTAAGGTTCGCGCCACCCCAAAGGGCCCAGCAGCAGACGGGCCTCATCTGCAGGCGCCCGGCTGTGGACGCAGACGGACCGCTAGCTTTCCCGGGGCAGCGGGTGTTGGGTGCGGCCTCCTGAGCCGAGCAGTGAGGACGGAGTGGGACTGCGCAGTCCTGCCCGCAGCGGCCAGTGCTCCGGAGGGGAGGGCCCAGGCGGACAGACAATGCTCATGGGAACACCATCAAACATGCCTTCTAGGGCCCTGACTCACGGCTTGGGCTGAGGGTTTCTTCCATTTAGGAAATTAATTTAGAGAAACTTTTTAAAACAAAAATTAAAGAAAACACACAAGAGAACAAGGGACCCCATATATAAATTGTCCAGATCAGTATTTCACTGTATTTGCTTCATTTGTCCCATTCTTTAATACCCTGTTTCCCCCAAAATAAGACAGTGTCTTAAATTAATTTTTGCTCCCAAAGATGCGCTAGGTCTTATTTTCAGGGGATGTCTTATTTTTCCATGAAGAAGAATATGGTACACATTTATTGTTAAATGAAAATAAAAGAAATTTATTACCTGTATGCGGTACAGTAGTTGTCAACACAAACCAGACAAACTGTGAATCCTACAGTATCAAGAATTTACTCACTTATTCAATGACAATCATGTCATCATCTTCTGGAACATCATCATAACAATCCAATTGCTGAATTTCCTGGTGAATTTCTTGTGACTCCATTTCTTTCAGAATCAGTGGACCAAATCTCTCATATTTAGCCTAGGAGGGCCTTATTTTCGAGGGGATGCCTTATATTTCATTCAGAAGGAAACCTGTAAGTAGGTCTTATTTTCAGAGGGTGTCTTATTTTCGGGGAAACACGGTATTGGCTGAAGGTTAAACAACAAACAATAAATCCCACAAATCACTACATTCACCTAGACGTGCTTCTGCAAAGGGGAAAAAAAACTTCCCCATAACCTCTTGGTTAGTGGCTGGGCCTTGGTAATTAAACTGAAAAAGCCTGATCAACGGGTGTGTGTGTGTGGGGGGTGGGACACAACAAATGCACACACACCAGTGTGTAGTATGTATTTGGGCTTCTACAAAGGAAGTAGCTGGCTTATTAAGCAGGTAAAGTTAAAAGTTTTTGAAATATGGTAACAACCATACTTGGATAAAAACTGCTGTTTGAATTTTAACCCTGCTATTCTGGTTGCTGCACTTGCTTAAACATAGGGTAGTTGCCTCAGCTTCCAGATTGAGACCCGGAGGCCAAGGCAATTTTCCTGTGCCTGTGGACCAAGACCACAGGAGATAGATTCCCATTGACTCAGTAGCTTCAGGGGTAGAAACTGCAGATAATCTTTAGAGATTAACCGCTCAGCTCTGCTTCTGTACTATCTGCTTTCACAAGATAGGGCCACATTCCAATGTCCAGCAGGATGTGGCTGGGAACATCCCTGTGGGCTGTTCCCAGCCTTTAGAATTCAGAATTTAGAACAAAGGAAAATTCTTGTGGTTTGGACCTTTAAAAGGACTGCCTCCACCTGGAACAGCGCAGCCCTGAGTGTGACCACCTGCGTGTGGTCTCTTACGGCCGTCCATAAATCCTTGCCTGCTATTTTTTAAATCAGTCATCAGCCTCCAGTAGTCTTATTTTGAACCCAGGGTTCGACCCCACAACAGTTTTTATCTACAACTTGGGGGAAAGGAATGGGGAGAAACGGTCTTTGGGAAAAACAAATAGGCTTCTTTAGGAAATACCAAAAGGGTGTGGACAAAAAGGGGCCACAGACTAACCCAGACAACTTGCGGGGGGGGGGGGGCTGTGTCAACACAAGGAACATTCAAACCTGTGAAGAATTTTTGTGAGCTTATTTGAGCCAAACTGGCAACAATTGTCAGGAAGCAGAATCTTAAAGGATTAAGATAATACTCTGGAGAATGGCAGTTTTGCACCTTATTTTATACACTGGTGCATAAAAGTCATGCATAGGTAGGGTCTCTAGGCCTGGCTGATCAGGGTCTTCCTTCATTCCATGCCACCTTCTGATGGTCAGCACATGTCATAGCGAGCGCTCCAACTCCCAGTCTCCCAGTCGAATGCCGGAGGGGACACTTGGCATATTAGTCTTTAATATATATTTAATATATAGATTACAATCAAAAGAGGGGATATGGCCAAAACCGGTTTGGCTCAAGGGATAGAGCGTCAGCCTGTAGACTGAAGGGTCCTGGGTTCGATTCTGGTCTAGGGCATGTACCTTGGTTGCAAGCCCATCCCCAGTAGGGGATGTGCAAGAGGCAGCTGATCGATGACTCTCTCTCATCGATGTTTCTGGCTCTCTGTCCCTCTCCCTTCCTCTCTGTAAAAAATCAATTAAAAAATATATATATATTTAAGAGGGGATATGGGTTACTTGAAATCCACTGTGATAGATTAGGGAGGTGGGAGAAAGCAAAGGGGAAACATCTGGGATTGGATAGAAAGTAAAGTGATAGACACACTTTAAAAAAAAAATTTACATCCAGAACTGAAATATCATTGCTGACAGGTACACATAAGGAACTGTTTGACATTGAAATTGGGTCTCAAAAGAACTGGTGGCCCAGAAAGAAGCTCACTACAGACTGATTCATATGCATTTCAGCATAACTATTATTGCTTGTCTCATTTTTTATTCTTATAAGTATATTTCCAGTAGGACATGATCTCACTCATCTAGGGGAAATGGTGAACAACATAGACTGATGACCAAGAACAGACCCAGAGATAAGGAGCCAGGGGTCAGACTGTTAGATTTCAAAAGGAGGGTGAGGATAAAAGGGAGAGATCAACTAAAGGACTTATGTGCACACATATGAGCCTAACCAGTGGTCAAGGACAATAGGAGGGTGGAGGCATGAGTGGGGAGAGATGGGGGCGGGGGTTTGAGGACAAATATGTGATACCTTAATCAATAAAGAAATTAATTTTAAAAATTTTAATCTATATTGTTCAGATTATTACAATTGTTCCTCTTCCCATAGCTCCCCTCCACCCAGCTCCCACCCCACCCTTTGCCCTTACCTCCCCCGTACTGTCCTCATCCATAGGTGTCCTCATCCATAGGTCAGTCTCTTCCCATACCCCTTTCCCTTTGAGAATTGTCAGTCCACTGTCTTTCTATGCCCTTGATTCTATTATATTCATCAGTTTATTTTGTTCATCTGATTTTTTATTCACTTGATTTTTAGATATACTTGTTGATAGACATGCATTTGTTGTTCATAATTTTTATCTTTACCTTTTTCTTCTTCTTCCTCTTCTTAAAGAATACCTTTCAGCATTTCATATAATACCAGTTTGGTGGTGATGAATTCCTTTAGCTTTTTCTGATCTGTGAAGCTCTTATCTGACCTTCAATTTTGAATGATAGTTTTGCTGGGTAGAGTAATCTTGGTTGTAGGTTCTTGCTATTCATCACTTTTAATATTTCTTGCCACTCCCTCTGGCCTGCATAGTTTCTGTTGCGAATCAGCTGACAATTGTATGGGTGCTCGCTTGTAGGTAACTGTTTTTCTCTTGCTGCTTGTAAGATTCTCTTTTTGTCTTTTGCTCTTGGCATATTAATTATGATGTGTCTTGGTGTGGTCCTCTTTTGATTCCTTTTGTTTGGGGTTCTGTGTGCTTCTTGGACTTGTAAGTCTATTTCTTTCATCAGGTGGGGGAAGTTTTCTGTCATTATTTCTTCAAGTAGGTTTTCAGTGTTTTGCTCTCTTTCTTCTTCTGGAACCCCCATAATTCTGATTTGGTATGCTTGAAGTTGTCCCAGAGGCTCCTTACACTATCTTCAACTTTATGGATTCTCTTATCTTCTTGCTTCTCTGAAGGAGTGTTCTTTGCTCTTTGTATTTCAATCTTTGACTTGAATCTTGCGTTCCTCTAGTCTGTTGTTGGGTCTCTGTATAATATTTTTTATTTCAGTCAGATTATGTTTAATTTCTAGTTGGTCCTTTTTCATATCCTCAAGAGTCTTGTTAAATTTATTGGTCTTTTCTAGGACATTCTTGAAAAACCTTATAACTGTGGTTTTAAATACTATGTCCAGTAATTTGTTCTCCTCCATTTCTTTCCTTTGTGATCTGTTTCCTTGTCTCCTCATTTTTCACTGCTTCCCTGAGTTGGTAGGGTAACTTTGTGTGCTAGGTGTCTTATATGGTTCAATGGGTCAGCTTCCCAGTTACCTGAGGTGGACACTCTTGGTGCACCCCTTTGTGGACTGTGTGTACAGCTTATTGTAGTTAAGTCTTGATTGTTATTGGTGTCACTGGGAGGAATTGACATCCAGGCCAATTGGCTGTGAGGACCTGCTGTGTCTATAATGAAGGAATTGCTGTGCTGAAGACATGTTTATGGGGCAGGACTTGTTCCCGTAGGGCTTTGGTGCTTACTGAGTCTGCCTCTTGAATGTGTCCCTTATGAGAATAGTTGGAATCTGGTGTCCTCTCACACAAACCACTAGATACACTAGTTTCTGGATCTCCAATGGGGTCCAGGTAAACTACTGTCTGACGCCACCCAGCAGGAGCTACAGCAAGAACTACAGTTTTCTCTCTTTGCTTGGGATGTGGCAGTTTTGGAACAGTCTGATTGGGCTGCAGTTTATTTGCAAAAGCTGCTATGTGGAGCCTGGGTGGGTTTGTAGAATGTACATGGTAGGATCTCAGGGCATCACTAGGCTAGGGCATGGCAAACAGTGATGGCTACCAGTCAGCCTTCTCTGCGTTTCTGCGTTTCCAAGTCCCTATGTCCCGTGCTCCAGTGTGGTAAACAATGATTGCTGGGCGCAGCTCTGCAAAAAAAGTCACCCTTACTTTCAGACTCGATAGACCAGCTTCTCCCCTTAGGCATCTGGGTCCCACGCGTGTCCCCAGAAACTGGATTTCAGAGTGATTGGGAGCTTGTCTCCCTTTGGATTGAAAAACAAAACAAAATAAAACAAACAAACAAACAAAAAAACGCACAGCCAGTCACTAGCCACCAGCCGGATTCGCTAGCCTCTGTACCTCAGCTTTTCAGCGTTTGTGCTCCTTTCTCTTTCCTTCTAGTTGTAAAACTTCCATTCAGCCAGCTTTCTCGTGGTTCTGAGTGATAGACATTTTGTCTTTTAGTTGTAGTGTTGAAATTGTGCGAGGTGGCAGTTTAGTTATTTACTTTGGCCACCATTTGGTTTCTCTGAGAACAAAATTTTTTCAACTTAAACTTTTTCTAATGCCACTTCTTCAAAATAGACTCGCCTAAGCCATGGTATTTTGTGGAAGAGCCACACTCAAGGGGCCAAAATTTTACTTGTTAAAACTACATTCCACTTGCTAAGACCATTGTCTTTTCCCTCGGGACCTGCCCAGAGAATTCTCTGTCAGAAAAAGCCTGCTAGAGTCCTTTAAAACCTCTGACTCCCTATCTTTGGCTGCTGGCACCATTTTGGAGCTCAGCCCATCTGGTTTTCCAGATAATCTAATAAATTAATAATTCTTTACCCATTTGGCCTCGTGCATTCCTCCTTCAGTGACCCTAACATCCACCAAACCAGCTCTCCAAAATCCGTCCTTTTGGGAGTTCGTGGCAGCTTTATTAAATTACTAGCCATTGGTAATAGATTCAACCTCTAATCCTTCCTCTCCCCAAAGATGAGGGGTGGGACTGAAATTTTCAACCTTCTAATCACTAGTTAATTCCCCTGATGGCCAGTTCCATCCTTCAAGGCTTTACAGAATCACCTCATTCACATAACAAAGACACCTTTATGACACTTATCACAGGAAATTCTAAGAGTTTTAAGAGCTATATTTGAGGTGAAATTCAAATATGCATATATTTTTATTATAAATCACAATGTCACAACCACAATGATTTCAAATTGACCACTCAGTAGTAATACCGACTAATATATGAATCCATCTGCCTGTGTACACAGGCCAAAATAAAAGCACAAGCAGGAGTTTGCAGTGTAGAATGGAAGACATTTAATATTAAATTGGCCAATCCAACGACGGGGAGCTAGTGCTATGAAAGACTCCACTCCATGATGGTGTGTATGTTACAGATTACATAGGTAAAATCACAAGACACCATTGAGGTTATACTTGGAACTGATTGGTTGTGTTAGCAGTGAAAATGGAATCAGGTCTTCCGCCGGTGGAGTCAGGCTGAATCTTGACTCAGCAATCTCAGTACTTGAGTTCTGGAGAAAGCAATGATAGCACAAAAGGGTGGGATAGTAACAGAATACTCATCAGCTCTCCAGGTCCCCACTGATTGGCTGGTTCCAGGGCAGTGATCATTAGTCAGTGCAGGTGGTCCTGAGGCAGCCATGGCATGGCTTGTATGGTTTTGCTGCTTTTCTGGACCTGGAGCCGAGAAGCAACTGAGGCCTAGGGGTATGTGATATGGGTTAGAACCTCAGTGTCCTGGGGGCTCAAGGCCTAAGGACTACTCTCCGGCTCCCCAGTTCCTCCTCCAAGGGGAGGCGGGGAGAACTACCGCATGAGTAGTGACAGGCCAGGGGAGGAAAGGTCAGGGAGGGTCTGAACCACATAACCAGCTATATGCTAGGGGAGGAAAGATTACTCTGAAGCCAGGCCCTTATTTTCCCAGTTGTTAGGCACCCAGGGCTTTCTGCCCCATGTCTTCTGTACCCGGCCTATATAGTCTTTGCTCTGCTCATGTCTATTTGTCCACCACAGGTTTGCCAGTCTCATTTATGACTCCCATTTGGTGCATTTTTAAGTCTCTATCTGATTTTTAAATCAGATGAATAGCAGTACTTAGAAAGGTTTTGCATTTGTATGGGAGAGTAAATTCATTTTTTAAAAATTTAAAAATCACATAGTGGTAAGTGCCATGCAGATTATTTTAATCTCATTGTGTATTTTTTTTTAAAAAAAATGTTTTTCTTACTGATTTTAGAGAGAGGGAGAAGGATAGAGAGCTATAGTAAACATGAGAAAAAAATCATGGATTGACTGCTCCCTACTGGCGATGCTCATGTGCCCTGATAGGAAATAGAACTGGTGACCTCCCGGTTCATGGGTCCACGCTCAATCACTGCGCCCAGCTCGTGTTTTGTTTTTGTTTTGTTTTTTAAATTGGGTGCTTGGTTGTGTTCAAAGTAAACAGATTGTTCCTCCCCAAAACTTTTTTGTTTTTCTTAAAGAAAAGCTAACCAATACCCAGGGGCCGGTATCCGTGGGATGTCCCAGGTGCCTTCATTCTGAATCAATGAACTGTCCTCACCGGGGGCAGCGCGCACAGGTCCCCCGGAGGAGGTCGTGCGCGCGCGGCGCTGGGGGTGAGGGGCCGCGCAGGACCCGGTTGTGGGGACGGACGCGCAGACCGTTTCCAGCACTGCCCCCGGCCCCGCCTCAGTGCGCAACGCGCGTGCGTGCGTGCGTGCGTGCGTGTGGAGGGTGGGGTTGCTTTCGTGCACGGCAGGGTTGGGGTGGTGGGGTGCTTGCCGCTCAGGTCCTAGCAGCTGACACAAGACTTTGTAATGCTCTCCAAATAATGAAACTTGGCTTCTCTCTCGCCCACGAATCATTTATGGGGGAAGCGAAAATCCCTTATGATTTCGGGGTGCGACAACGCGGGTGATATACCAGCCAGAGCGAAGCGCTCCATCGACAAGACCCCGGGTGGCTTACACCCCTGCCAGGACCGTGCGTGCAGCGTGCGGTCCGTTCCGCCCAGTGCATGCTGGTCGGCTTCCTTGTCTCCGTCCGGCGCAGCGTCTGCGCTTTCCACCTGCGCCCCCGTCCCGGTCCGCGCTCCCTGCCTCTCCGCCTGCGCCCTCTCCAGGGCACCCGCCGCAGCCCTGGCGCTCCCCGCGGGCCCCGAGGCCGCCTGCGCCCTGTGCCAGCGCGCGCCCCGCGAGCCGGTGCGCGCCGACTGCGGCCACCGCTTCTGCCGGCCGTGCGTGGTGCGCTTCTGGGCCGAGGAGGACGGGCCCTTCCCCTGCCCCGAGTGCGCCGATGACTGCTGGCAGCGCGCCGTGGAGCCCGGCCGCCCGCCGCTCAGCCGCCGCCTGCTGGCCCTCGAGGAGGCGGCCGCAGCGCCCACGCGCGACGGCCCGGCCTCCGAGGCGGCCCTGCAGCTGCTGTGTCGCGCCGACGGGGGTCCGCTGTGCGCCGCCTGCCGAATGGCGGCGGGGCCCGAGCCGCCCGAGTGGGAGCCCCGCTGGAGGAAGGTGCTGCGCGGCAAGGTGCGCAGGAGCGGTGCCTGGGCGCCGCTATCCCCTTCCCGACCCCGGTCCCTGCCCCGGACGGCGCCCTGACCACCTTCCCCAGCCTCCGGACAATGCCCTGTTACCAAATCCCCCACTTAGCAGGTGCTCTGTCCCTTCTCCCATCCCCCATCCCCAGAAGGTGTCTGTGGGCCTCCCCATCTTCTGCCCATCCTTTTCCCCTATGGGCAGTCCTTCTCCCCATCCCAGACGGTGTCCTGCTGTGGGGTCCGCTCTATGTCTAGTTCTCTAGGCCTTACTGCCCCTCCTCCATGCATGATGGAACCCGGTGGCAGCCTCTCCCCCACGGGTGAGCCCTCTGAGGCTGTCTAGCAGATAAGTCCCTCCCTGTTCCAGGCTCCGCCCCTCCCACAGATTTCTCACCGCCTCGTAGCCCTCCCTGAGCCTCTCCTTACCTGCACTGCGTGTGGTGTCTGACCCTGGGTGGAAACCCACCAACTGGCAACCCAGGGACCCACCCTTTTCGGTTGTGGGTGCTCAGAGTAGTTAATGAGAGAATAAGGAGCCAGCCAGACTAGCCGGATTCTCCTCCTGCTGGGGGCTCTGCCCACCTACCTGGTCAGTGCACAGCCAGTGATGGTGCCCAATGGGCCCTGGGTGTGGGCGTGGTGTGGGCGTGCTCACCCCAAAGGGGGCATGCAGGGTCTTGGATCTAGTGTGGCCCTGCCAGGGCCATTCCTTCTGAAAAGGATATGGTGATTGTTTTTTGCAAATATCCATCCCTGTGCTAGTGACAATAACACTGGAAACTGAGGGACACTCGTGTCCAGTTTGTTGGTTAGATCCTTAGCACAGGATTTTCTAAGAGGCTTCTTCTGGAAGCAAGCTTAGGGAGGGGGGGTGAGGGGGGTCACTAAGACCCCTCTGGTATCTGCAGCCTGTTTGCATCAGTCTGGCAGGCCAGGACCATGTAGTCGGGCCTTCTTGATAGTCAGATCTTTAGTAATGTCCCCTGGATTGGGCTAAGGGAGGGGTGTCCTAGACCTTCAGGGGTGGTCAGCCTCCTGGTAACCAGCGTCTCTTCCCAGGAGAATAAGGGGTCTGTGGAGATCATGAGGAAAGATCTGAATGATGCTCGGGACCTGCATGGCCAGGCCGAGTCTGCTGCTGCTGTGTGGAAGGCAAGTCGGGGTGGACCTGGGTCTGCGGGAATGAGGGGACATAATGGAGGCTTGACTCTAGGTGGCAGGGCCTGGGGAAGGAGCTGAGCCCTCCGTAGCAAACTTTTTCTCCTTGAGGGGTCAGCATGGGGCTGGGGTCCTGGGTGCAGCCTGAGGACACAGGTGCCCTTCCCTGCCGCCTGCCCGCAGGGACACGTGATGGACCGCAGGAAGAAAGCCCTGACCGACTACAAGAAGCTTCGGGCTTTCTTTGTGGAGGAGGAGGAGCGCTTCCTGCAGGAGGCAGACAAAGAGGAAGGGTCCCCCGAAGACGAGGATGCCGACCCTGCAGAGAGGTTCAGGTCCCTCCTGCAGGCCCTGTCGGAGCTGGAGCAGAGGCACCGCAACCTGGGCCTTAGCATGCTGCTCCAGGTGGGCCCTGGCCCCGTCCTGAAAGCCTTAAGCTACCAAGAGAGGGCTTAAGGCTAGGCCTGGCCGTGGTTTGGGGCCGAGTTTCAGGAATGAGTAATCCAGCAGACTCCCCGGCCTCCGTGTTACTGGCGATCTTTCCTGAGGGAGGGCTGCGCCAGGCCCTTGTCCTACCCTAGCACCCTGCAGGAAGGCGGCCATCTGACCCTTTCCCCGCCTGTCCACTCACCCTGTGTCTGAGGCTTGCCCTGGAGGCTCTGGGTTCTTCCTACCCCTCTGATCTGAGCCAGCAGCCCCCACCCTCCCCTTCTCGGCTGGGAAGTGCCACTTCACTCAGGGAGGGCTTGTTATTAGCTGCGGGAAGGTGGTGGTGTGGGGTGATCATAATGGGAGGCTTGGCTTCAGCCTTGGGGAGCTGCCTGTGGCTGGTGGAACTGGGGCATGGCCACCTGGATTTTAGGACAGCAGCTCCCTCCTCTACCTCCTCCTCTCTCCCTGTCTCTCTCTCTCTCTGCAGTGATGCCAGGCAGAGGAAGCTGGCTCGACGGTGGCCCAGCCTCCAGCAGCTCCATCCGCCTCCTTCAGGACCCTGGCGGGTCTCCACCTAGGTGTGACTGGGCCTCCTACCGTAGGTGCCACCTTGGGCTGTCCCTCAGTATTGTCGGTGTTTTCTTTCCCTGGGTGTTTGTGTTTCTGGGCTGTAAAGCCAGCCTCGCTGTGGAGACCTGAAGCGGTGGGGAGGTATCAGTAACTCAAGTGTATCCTGTTCTTTCTCTTCATAAAGTTGTTATTGCTGTTGCCGAGTCTCTTCACGTCTGCCTGGGATCTCCGTGATCGTTGTCCAGACCTGGCACCTGCCCCCTTTAAATGCTGCCCATGATGGGCCTTGTTCTACTCAGGTGTAAAGACCCCTGTCTGAGCATCGGGCAGAAGAGTTAAGTTTGGGGTAACCATCAAAGGAAAGGGAGGCCCAGGGTGCCCAGGTGGGGAGGATGGGCAGGTAGATCAGCCTGTCACTCCTGCTCGAGGCCCTGACAGCATGTGTCCCCGCAGATCACCCACAGCTCAGTTTCTCTGTGCAGTGATGCCCCTGGTTCTCCTGGGTCTGGGAAGTCAGCCCCCTCCGCACCTCACCTGCAGCTCTATTCTCTCAGTGTGTCCCCTTGCCTGCTCACTTCATCAGGTCCCTTAGGAGCAGGTTGGCATGCTGTCATTCTGCTGCACCCCTGGCTTCCCTTGCTGTGTAGTTCCTCCCATAGATGAATTTAGCAAAATCCATGACTTAGTGGCAGTGTCATTGTATTGATGAGTTCAAGGGCCAAAAATGCCATACGGTGATAGGACAAGGGGTCCCAGTGCATTGGCATAGACATTTAGGATGGTTTCTGAGTCACTCCGGATTAGCAGCTTTGTGATCAATGGGCCATTTCTGACAAAGCTTTTTGGACTTGGGTGCCACAGGCTCAAGTTTAAGGCCGGCACTCCTGGAGCCAGGATCAGGGTTTGCTCACATCCCTCCTCCCTCTGTCCCCTCGAGTGCCCCGTGACTGGGTGGAGCTTCTGCAGGTGGGTCTTCTCTTCAGTGTGCTCCCACTTCCCACCTTCATCAAGTGGGGGACCCAGGGCAGCTGGCCCAGGCTCCTGTGCACTGAGCCCAGATGCCCACTGGGAGGCCTCTCAGTTGGAGACTCCTGTGCAGCTCAGTAAGATGATGCCCGGGGGGCGGGGCTGTGGAGAGACACGAGATCCACCAGCACAGACTTGCTTGCTTTCTGACAGCGACGAGCATCTTTGAGACTCTCGCATGCTGTCTGTGTAAGAATGACTGGCAGAGAGGTGGTTTATTAGAGACAGTCATCATCATGTCAAACCGAATGACTTTGGCTAAATTTTAGCCTTAATAAAGAATCCTGACCCCTCATATCAGGGGTCAGTACTAGGATGCCCTCTGGCCTCTTTCAGACTCTGGGTCTGACTTGGGCTCCAGTGAGGCCTGGCTGCCCCCTCACAGCTCCTCTGAGTGTGGGCAGTGAGAGCTCTGACAGCCTGTTTGTTTGTGGGTTCACATGTTCGGTGCTGAGATGAGGCACTCTGCTTGTCATTTTACCGGAGTTCCGCGGGAAAGTCCCCAGTATTTGGGAACTGTGGCCCATTTTCAATTTCACATCCGTAGTCCAAGGGGAGCAGAGACAAATGCTGAGGATTGTTCCACACTCAGTGGGAGTCTCAGTACATGTTATGAGAAGATACTGACACCTCCTGTGATCCAAACTTGCATGTGGAGACACTGAGCTGCTCCCGGCAGAAATCCTGATGACTGAGGTGTGAGTCGGGATCCCATGTGGGGTGTGGACTGGTGCTACCATTTTGGATAGTATCTTGAGGGTCAAACTAACACATGTGGGAGTCAGGCCAACAGGAGGTTAGGGGGAACCAGTCCCCAAGACCACCCATGTGCAAATTCCAGAGTTTCCCACACCGTTTGGAGTTCAAGAATCCACTATAAATGTTCCCAGAATCACTGATGTGGATTGCTCATGGTGTTGGGGAGAAGGGGCAGGTTAATGGCTGCCAACCTATCCTAGAGGCAGGCTGCTCTGCAGACCTGTGGACTGATGACTTCCCCAGCTCTGTCCTGGGGATGTGGGGTCACAGAACACGGGAACTACCCATGGCACTCTGATAGGAACGCTGCCATAACTTCACTGCCACCAGTGGACAGGCTGGTGCGTGGAATGGTTTCCACAGGTGAGGCAGTTGAGCTTATAAAAATGCCTCTTTAAGGATCACAGCCAGAGTAGCAGACAGATGGAGCCCTAGAAGATACCTGCAGTGGTTCACACTGAGACTACACAGGCAACTCCTGCAAATCTGGAAGAGCCAAAGGAGCTGGGTGAAAACAGGACAGGGTGTGGACCAGCAGGACAGGGGGAGAGGGCCAAACATGTTAAACCAGAGAGAAAACATGCCTGCCCGTGGCTCTGCATTGCTGCTGCATTCTGCAGCGCAGCTGCCAGGTGTCATCTGATTTAGGGTGTGCTTGTACCTGGCTGCAGAGGGAGCGGACAGGGAAGCAGGCGTCCCAGACTGGGGAAGGGGGAGGTCAAATGGGGGGTGGAGGGATGGAGAAGGCCAAACCCCAGGGACACAGGGCTGGACTGGGCCACTCAATGGGGCTGAGGGCACCATGCTGATGCAAATGAAAGCCAAACAAAACACTGTGTAAACTTAAAATGCATGCACACAACAACTACTGGTTGTAAGAACTTAAAATTGACAAGTGGGACCCATTAGGATAGTTGTCTGTGGGCGGGGGAGGAGGATGAGTTGAGGGTGAATTTTCTCTGGACTCCCATTTTGAGATTCCTCCAGAGGCCAAGGCTGAGCCAGATCCCCACCCCCATCCCCCATCATTTCCTTTGGCCACGCTGGATCCCCATTCACCCTGATGTCCCTGTGCCCGCTCCGCTGTTTGTACTGGTGGTCCAAAGCCCTACCTTTGCGCCACCATTTCTTGTTGGGCCTGGGAAGGGGCCAGGAGCAGACAGAGTGGGTGATTGAGGACATGACTCAGGCAGGGAGGTTCCGGGTGGAGGGAGGCGGTGAAGCAGTTTTGTGGGTCCCAGAATCCCACCTGCCCCATCAGGTGGCTCAAGCCTGAGCTGCTCATTTCCTCGCAGGAGTCTAACACGGTTCAGAGATGTGGTATAAATGACACAGACACAATGGTCCTTTTTCTTTATAATTTTTTGGGTTGTTTGGTTTATTTCACCTCCATTCCTTACGAGGGATGTGGTAGTGAGCCACTTGACAGATCTTGCAAGTATATATAAAACCACTAAGTAATGATGTCTCGGGCAAAACGTCATCAGTACAACACAGTCAAATAACAACCAGTTCGAATTTAACAGGACACAGTATCGACCTCTAGTTTTTTTTTTTTGTTTGTTTTTTTTTTGTGTGTGTGTGTGTGTGTGTGTGTGTGTTTTGTGTTTGTTTTTAACAAGGAAGTTTTGCACAAATAAGAGTGGGCAGGTTTAAATAAAATCAACAGAAAAGGGAACATGCTGGTCATAGATACAGACCCCTCGTGTCTCCTGTCAGAACAAGACCCCTCTCTTCGGAAAGTTTCAGTCCCACGCTCTGGATAAGCCAGCGGATTCCTTCTGTGACCAGAGCATGGCGTCTCCTGCCCCGCAGCTGTACTGGTTGGTGGCCTTTGCTCATGGATTCATTTCTTTATAGACGTGATGCTCGCGGTTGGGCTCCAGCACACCACTCTCGTCTAGCGAAACCCAGACGGCCTGTGAGCTGGCAACACTTGTGGGCGAGGCCAGCCTGTCTTGGGCTCCTTATTGGGGCCCCTAACCAGGTGGGGTAGGGAGCATGCGCACTGCTACACACTCTGGGCCACCAGCATTGGAGGAAACCGGGGATTGGCCGAACAGGGAGGCCTGGGCCTTCGGGCAGCAGAGGCGATTATGTGGTTTGGCCTCCTGGGACCCCAGCGTGCAGACTACTGCGCTACATGTTCTGGCGCCTGAACCCAACACAACGAAGTGATTTTGCAAGTCTTGTCCGATTGGAAGAGTCACAGGGCTCTATGCCACAGCAGCCAATGGGGCTCCTGTGATGCAGTACGCCTTCATCCCATTGGCGGGCACAGCACTTAGCGGCCGCCTCTCCCACCGTGGGTTCAGGCTGCTGCAAGCTGGCTGGCCATCTGCAACTTGAGGAGCTCAACAAACTGGGCCACGTGGTCCTGTGCAGATCGGTGTCCTGCCTAACATCCAGGCTGTGCTTCTGTGACTGAGCACTTCAGAGTCGTCCACGTAGCCAGCAAAGAGCTGCTATGCGCCCTCCCATTTCTTTCCTAGTTCCCTGTCCTCCCTTGTCCTGTGCAGCAGAGGTCAGTAATGAGACAAGGTTGGCGCATGAGCTGGCAATGGACCTGGCTCTTAAGTAGGAACAGTGTACACAGAAGATCCTGGTCCAGGACCAGGGCGGCCAGCTGTGCATGTGGGGTAGGGAACATGGATGGACATGTCACTGCAGGTGTTTATGTTCTTGCCCAAGGGGTGCCCTCCATGGTCTGGGTCCCTCTGGGAGCAAACCACAGGCAGAAATCGTTCCTGGGCAAAAACTTGGCTCAGTGCTGGATTCCACTGGGCTCTCCCCTCCTACTGGTTCACAAAGGCCTTTCCCACCAGTGCTGCTTTAATGCCTCCAGCTAGAATATAAAGCTCTGTTAGCTCCTGGTAGGATTCAGGACATGCTGCCCCAATCCAGCAGCTGGGCATATTGAATACTTTAAGCTGAAGGGTTTGAGGAAACACCAGACAGGAATGTCACTGACCTCCCCCGCTCCCCACCTTGTCCTTCTCCCCTGAAATATGCCCAAAACCCTCAAGGGAGAGACGGCCTCCCCATACCCAATGGGAAGGAGCACCCTGATCTGTGAACACAAAAGGGATGCCAAGAAGAATCCTAACAGGCCTTGCTAAGGTTTTCTCGCTCACT